CTGAATCTGGTTCTCCGGCAGGCTGAATAAGATGAATGTCAGCTTGTGAACCCAAAAATGTTGAGTGACAGCTGATTTCTTCACACCCAAAAGCGGCTGAAGATAATTTTGGTCTTAAAGATGGTATCTCCAGCAAGCCCAGTGTTACATGATATCATTCTGCCCAGCTACTTCTGGGTAAGCAAGCATTTATCTTTAGAAGGCACGGATTACAAAGATATATGCAAGTTGTGCTGTGGATCAATGTAAAGAAATGCTTAATTATTTTTCTTTTCCACAACTTGATTTTCCCCCCTCAGATGGTCAAAGTCATCCGATGCATCATGATGCATTTTCCTATGTCCTTTCTTGACCTCAAGGTATTCTATAGGGGAGAAGGGGGTGTCCCAGCTAGGAGGATAGATTCCCAGACTATCTGACATTCTTGTATTTCATTTTGCAACTATACTGGATCTGACTTTTTACTAAATATAAAGAGGCGGTTCAAAGCCTGAAACTCTAATCAGGGTAAGAGAGAGGCTCCAGTTTCTGGTTATTATTTTTATAGCAAGAGAAACAAAAAAAAAAAAAAAAAGGATTTTATTCTGGTTTCAGCTGAGAGAGAAAGAATCTTGGAAAACGATAAATATGAGGCCAAGAGGTTTGTCAGACCATAATGAAAAATTCCAGGATAATTTAGAGTAAGACAAGGAAACAGATGCTTTGATAAAAATGGAATGAGGTCTTAATTAAGTGGTATTTGAAATAACAAAGAGAACATCTTACGTGAGCACCCGGATGCCACCGGATCACACGCTGGGTGGCCAATATGTTGCCTGCGTGAACAAACTGTCCTGCAAATGAGTTAAAGAAAGTAATTCAACCTCAGAAACAAGACAGCTTGAATGCATTTTAGCTGAATACAAACGGAGCACAACGCAACTTTCTTTAACGTTCCTTCTCACGAAATAGGACCCATTGCAGAAGATAAGAGGGCAAAGGTGAAAGATCTGAGACTCAAGCCTCGAGTCGTACCCCTAATTTTATTGACTGAGGCTTTCTAGTAGTAAGATCATTCCAAACATATCCAAAGTATTTTCTTGACAGATTATCGGAATAGCCTCAATTCACACATTAATGCACCAAATTACACTTCATTTAGTGTGGATTGCCATTTTGAGATTACCAAAAGGAAAAGAAGGGCAACTGTTCCATTTCAGTAATCCTGAATATCCACATTCAAGTACAGGTTGTCCTTGACTTACTGTCTTACTTAGCAACCAAAATTCTGACCACAATTTGGGCCAGAATTTCTCTTGCTAAGTAAGACAGTCGTCAAGTGATTGGTGCCTCCATTTTACAACCTTGTTGCCATGACCATTAAGCAAATCCCTGCAGTTATTAAGTGAATCATTTGATTGTTTAGCTAATCCAGCTTCCCCCACTGACTTGGCTTGTCGGAAGCCGGCTGGGAAGGTCACAAATGGCATCACAAGACCTTGAGATGCTGCAACCATCATAAATACATGCCAGTTGCCAAACACCCAAATTTGACCATGGAGACATTTAGGAGGCCATATGAGAACTGGTGGTAAATCAATTTTTTTCAGGGCCATTGTAACTTCAAACAATTGCTAAACAAATAGTTTTAAGTTGAGAACTATTTATAACCCAATGTAATATGGTTTATAATAATACTTTATCTGTGGTCACAGTTTGATTTACAAGGACTCATGGGGACATCTTTGCTTTCCTCAAAGAGCAGGGATCTTCAAACTTCACAGCTTTAAGACTTGTGGACTTCAGCTCCCTGAATTCCTCCTCCAGTCATGTTAGCTCAGGAATTCTGAGAGTTGAAGTCCACAAATTTTAAACTTGTCAAGTTTGAAGATCCTTGTCATAGAGGATTATATGGAGAAGACAAAATTAGGAGGGCTGCTAAACTAAGTGGAAAAATAGGAAGTGGGAAGAGAGGTTCATGATAGCACTGAAGTGTTTTGTATTTGTGTGAGAAGGATGAAGAAATCTGGGCTCTGGCTGTGCAATTTACTGATTACCTTGAACAGGATGACACAAGGAAAGTCATCTCTGCATCATTACAGGGCCAAAATGTCAATGTCCTGACACTGACTCATCCACCTTGGACTAAACAATGTAACTTGATGGTTTGGGGACTCGTATTTGTTTGGGTTTCAAAGTTCTCAGGGATTGGTCTGATTAGTGTTTGGGGATGTAGACCATCAGGGAATGTGGACTTTGGCAAACATCTTGGAGGAAGGTAATTGACAAACCTCTTCAGTCAAGAGAATGATATAGATGTGTCTTATATAGTCACCAAGAGTCAAGATCAACCAACATCACTTCTGATTTGGTTCATTCCAAATGGAGCAAATCAGCAGCCAAATTTGTATCCACTGAAGTTAAACTCTTCCGGCTTAAAAAAGAAACACCTAGTAAAACCATTGAAAAGTTATCCGGCTTTGTTACTGCACAAACTATTTTTCAACATCTTGTGTACTTAAGGATTTAAACAAATATTACACTTTGAACAAAGGAGGAACCATACATTGGCTTGCTTCAAGTAGCCCCCGGGGTGGTCCTAAATTGTCCGCATCATGTATCTCCTCGCAATCCCATCTGCACTCTGACCTTGCAGGTTTTGTTAATGCTAGGGTCAAGTCAGGCTTCCTATTCTTCAACCATTTTTTATCCCATCACAAGAGAACTGGATTTCCGAAGCATATAAGGATATGGTGAACTGCATCAAGCCAATAGCCCATTTAGTCCAACCTTTAATGGCCCTCAAACAGATACCTCTACCAAAGTTTATAAATTTAGCAAGGAGGGCAAGCACCCTTTTCCATTGTTCCCACAAAGCAGCTGATATGTCAGGAGTGCTGTTGAAAATTCTGGAGACACCAAGCAACCATCAAGATTAGTGACTATTGATAACTCTAGCCCAGAGATCCCCAAACTTGACCGCTTTAAGACTTGTGGACGCTATGCTGGCTGGAGAATTCTGGGAGTTGAAGTCCACAAGTCTTAAAGCGGCCAAGTTTGGGGACCCCTGCTCTAGCCCCATTTTTACAGTGGTCTAAATCTCCAACCATAACCATCTGATTACAACATATTCAATTTAAGTGGAATTAACATACTTTTTTGGTTAAAAAGGAAGGAGTTCCTCAAGTCAAAATTGATTTCTAGCAACTCCAGGTACATTTTGTCAAAAAAATAATAATTACATGAGTATTACAGATTTTGCCAATAGCATCTTCTGGGATATTTGTCTGGCTCCACGGTCCAGTCTACAGCTGACATTTCCTGACAAAGATGGTCTTCCCAGTGAAGAGATTAGCACCTCTGATCCTGCTTAGATTATTCCGAGAGCAGGCGAGGCCAACAAGATATTGCATCTGTTCTGACTATTAATTTAAAAAAAAAAACACCTTCCTTTTGTTAGTCTTGAATCTTTGAATTTAGAATTTAGTGGATGATCTTGCAAAACCCTGTATTTTTGTGATCTTTCAATGATCTTAATGAAGGTGTTATATAAGACAATGTTTCTCAGCCTTAGTGATTTTAAGGTATGTGGATTTCAACTCCATGAATTTCCCAGCCAGCATGATGTTCACATTATTTTAAATTTGTCAAGGTTAACAAGCATTGTCCTAACATAAAAAATTAAGGTAAGTATCATCACTGTCATCACCACTACATCATCAACTTGGGAGGAGGGGGGAATATAGGGACTATTGACTCCCCACACTCCAGCAATCTCCTTATTTCCAAGGCTAGAGTTTTAACTCTTTTTAGCATGCAGGTAAGTCCTCAACTTACAACAGTTCATTTAGTGATTGTTCGAAGTTACAATAGCACTGGAAAAGTGGCTTACGACCATTTTTCACACTTATGGCCACTGCAGCACAGGTACTTGACAAATGGCTCATATTTAAGATGGTTGCAGGTCCCAGGGTCATGTGATTCCCTTTTGCAACCTTCTGACAAACAAAGTCAATGGAGAAGCCAGATTCACTTAACAACCATGTTACTAACTGTTAACAACTGCAGTGATTCACTTAACAAACATGTTAAAAGTCGTAAAATGTAGCAAAGCTCACTTAACTAATTTCTCATTTAGCAACATAAATTTTGGGCTCAGTTGTGGTTGTAAGTTGAGGACGGCCTGTATTTCCTTAAAGCTTCATGTGTGTATAGCTCTACAAAAGCAACCCACACCAAAAAGGTTTGCAATTATTTTTAACCCCATATCTGGGCTCTGCTTCAACATCTTATTGTTAAAGTAATGTTCCCCCCTCACACACACACACACACACACATCTGGACATCAGTCTTCAACATCTAACTATTAGAACAATGTTTCTCAACCTCAGCCACTTTTAAGTTGTGTGGACTTCCAAGTCCTGAAAATCCCCAGGCAATCCACACCGTTTAAGAGGCTGAGGTTGAGAAGCATTGCTTTAGAGAGAACAAGGGGATTGGAGCCAAGCTTTGCTAATTTTTTTCCCCCTTTCCTTTCCTCCCACACTGTTCCTTCTCTCAATAAACACATGTTCAAATTTCTACGACCATGCATATGCTACAACAAGGGAACCATGCAGTAACATAAAGAGAAACAAATATATCATTGCACACTGGACTAAAGGTACTCTGGACATGATCAGAGAGTGATAGAATCATAGGACTGGAAGGTAAATTTTTGTCCCCTAAGGGCTTTTTGGTTTAAAAGTTATTTTTGCTATCGGGGTGCTTTTGGAGGGATACTTCTGAAAAATATGTAGTCTACTGAATATCCTCATCTTCCCTCTGGTTTCCCAATAGTTTATCACTGGCTACGATTTTGACACAATTTACAAGTCAAGTTTACTCAGCAGCAAGCAAGGATGTACATTTCAATTTATTTAGACTCTCCTTATTGTATCCCCTACCCCAAAGTTATATTATAAAGAAAAATGTACAGGATATAAGCACTAATTTTAAATAGTGGCCCTACATTCTGCATAAAATAGGCAGAATTCTACAGTAAACTACTGCAGTCCTACCACCTACTGGCTGTCTCATAGTTGACAGGCATAACGTAGGAATATCCAGACAGCCAAATAATATTCATCAATGGCAAAGGGCAACTTTACCTGGAACAGTTTACATCCTGCAACAATACCTTTAATACCTTCAAATAACAACATCTCCCTATCCCAGGTCCTTGGGAATCAATAGGTGTCAAAAATGCCAAATCCAGTCTAAACACCTGGCAGCCTGTGCAACAAACCTTAATATGTGGTACTGTTGTGGTTTGCTGGCAGCCTGTGCAGACGGTAGCAGAACTGGACAGTGGGGAAGAACGGGGACCAGTCCAGGAGTCTGGAGAGGACTCGGACAAGGGTCCTGTGTCCAATGCAGAGATGGGGCCAGGGCCATCTGGGAGTGGGGTGCTGACTCCGGAGCCTTCGGAGTCTGGCAGCAGCAAGGCAGAGGAACCAGGGGAGCCTGTTCCCAATGCATGTGTGCGCAGAGCTACTAGAAGGCAAGAGCAGCTGAGACAAAAGGAGCAAATTGGGAGTAAGGCTGGGAGGTGATTGTCCCTCCCATAAGGTATAAAGGACAGGCAAAGGTAAAGAAACCTTTGTAGGAAGCAAAGTTGTTCATTCTGTTTGGATTAATCCTTGAAGCTCTGTGTGGATTTTGTTGGTTGTTTTTATAGTTCATTTGGCACTTTTGTTGTTGACAGCAATTCAAAGGAGAGAAGGGTTGGTGCTTATCTCGAGGGACTGTTTGGGACTCATTACAGGCTGGGAATGAACATAATTCCCAGTGTTGAAATAAAACAAGAGTTGTTTTAACTAAGCGTGTGCTTAATTACAGTCTCAGGAAGCCTTGGTCAGAACAGGTACTTAATGTCAACGCATTGACAAAATTTCCATCTGTCAATCGCAGAAGGCCACACTGCTTAGACCTGCACGTATATTGTAAAACAGGTAGTCCTTGACTTACAATAGTTCATTTAATGACCAAAGTTACAGCAGCACTCAAAAAGTGACTTATGACTGTTTTTCACACTTACGACCATTCTACCATCCCCCTTGGTCACATATCAAAATTGACTGACTCACATTTATGACAGTTGCAGTGTCCTGGGACCATGTGATCACTTTTTGCGACTTTCTGACAAGCAAAGTCAATTGGGAAGCCAGATTCACTTAACAATGTTACTAGCTTAACATCTGCAATGATTCACTTAACAACTGTGGCAAGAAAAATCATAAAATGAAGCAAAACTCACTTCGCAAATGTTTTACTTAGCAACATAAATTTTGGGCTCAATTGTGGTCGTAAGTCGAGGACTACCTGTCTATCGATGCATTAGAACAGCCTAAGTTCTCGAGAAGGATTCAATACATATGAAGGCCAACACCAGCTAAAGAACTGGCAGCTGTGACCTCACATTTTTGTGAACATATAAAAATAACAATTAAATTCACATGTTGCCCAACTCCCAACCATTCTATACAGACTATACAGACTATACAAACTGATAAAAATATTCAAAAACAAAGAAAAAACTGAAAAAATGAAAAAGAATAAAGATGGCCAAAGTGACAAAAGTGGATGGAACAAAGGGAAGAGGAAGGATTCTTCAATCACCAAAGCCATGGCTTCAGGGCCCTTCAAACGGTATAGTCCGTGCTTAATAGCAAAGAGCAAGAAAATTAATGTTTTTTTTAGTTGTTTTTGTTGATGGGCTGTTAATAACAATAATAAGCAGGAAACTGCAGTAAAGTGATGAAGAAACTTACCATCAAATTTTTTGAAGCCGTACCTTTTCCCAGTTCTGTTCCCTCCACGATTTCTGGTGCTGCCTCCACTTTTTTTGGATGCAAATCTCACCACAGTTGCACTGAATGTGGGAACAGGCAAAACTGTTACAGGAAGGGGAAGAAAGCAAGAGATTCCAATGATTAATGTGATAATAATAAAAAGCATGCGCTGTGAGCCAGCAGTTCCCAATCCAAAATGCAAATCAATTCAGCCATAAACCATGTTCAAGACAATCTGAAATAACTACAAGCTTAAGTTTAGTTTTAACAGCTTTTGTAAAACAAAACAAAAAAACATCATGAGAGTTCAATCTTCCAGATTTCAGGTTAGGGAGACTGTTCCAGGAGGCTAGCACCATAACTAAAAAGCACCAAATGCCAACAAAACCTTTGTGAACTTTTCTGTGGTAATAACCCTCAGTATCCTATCTAGGACATGGATGCTGGACAGGTAAATTTTACAGTATTTGAAGCAAGCAATCATGCAAATAGCAAAGTATCTAACCACAGAGGTTGCAATCAAACACTCAGAATTAATTAATTTATTAATCAATTATTCAATCAAATTGTTCATAAAGATGACTCCATGACTCTGGGACACTGCAACCGTCATAAATATGAGCTAGTTCTGATCACGTGATCTCGGGGATGCTGCAACAGTCACAAATGTGAAAAATGATCATAATTCACTTTTTTCAGTGCTGTTGTAGCTTTGAATGGTCACTAAATGAAGGATTGTAAATCGAGGACTACCTGTACCAGAACTAAAACAAAACTAGATTCTGAAAGCTGATGAGGCCTACCTATAGCACCATTCAAATAAAACAGCACCTTGTGACACCAGCAAGGAAGATAACCAAACTCTCCAAAGAAGATAACATGAGTAGACCCTATGGAGATTCTCAATCATGCAGGAGGTCTTGGTTGTCTCAAAGGTGCTTTTTCCAGAGGCAACTGGACTTTCTGGTTTTTCTTTGAAGATGTTTCACTTCTCATCCAAGAAGCTCCTTCAGCTCTGACTTCCCCACCATCCAGTCAGAGCTGAACAAGCTTCTTGGGTCAGAAGCGAAACGTTTTCAAAGAAAAACCAGAAAGTCCAGTTGCCTCTTAAGGAGGGGGAAAGCATTGGGATTTAGTAGAATCTCCCAGCAGAGCGAGCCTTATAGGGCTCTTTCCAGGCTCGCTCTTAAGCGCGGATGGGGACGGGGATGCACCAATTTCTGCAAAGGATCGGCGGCTTATTCGATTGCAAACTATGTGCATGAATCCCTAAGGATCATATTCCTCTGACCCATTTGCAGAAGGGAGGATTGGCTGCGCCAAGCACAAAACCTTTCCCCCCTCTGAATTCTTGCTTTTAATTTCACACACTGGAACGCCGCACCCCGAATCTTCCCAGTCCCACCAGTTGCCGCCGCCTGCTCCCATTTCCCCGAGAGCTCACCACCAACCCAGTTAAGGCTTCCGCCTTCCCAACCTTTCCGACTCACGTTGCCTGCCGGCCGCGGAGCCTAAAGCAACCAGCCCGCCCAGCAGCGCCGCCATTTGACCTTCCCTCGCCACCCTACGAAGCGCCCCGGCCTGCGCTGCGACACTTCCGGGTCCGGGATCGGCGGCGGCGTTGAGCGCGAGATTTGAACGAATGTTTGAATGAATGAGCCCGTCGCCTGGCTTCGGAGGTGCAGCGCCTGGTTGCAAAGAGATTGAAAGCGATGGGGTGAGAGCCCATACCCGAGTTCACGTGATGAAGGCTGGGGTCATATTTTAAGGCGGTTTGCGTAAACGGAAAAGAGGTTCCTTCTTTCGTTCCTTCCTTCTTAACTAACTAACCAACCAACTGGTGCACCATCGTCCCTGTCCTATTGTTCCCATTTATTCGTACCTATTTCCTGTATTCTTATTCATGTTTATACTTATACCTATTATCTTGTAAGCGATTGACAAATCAAATAACTTACTTACTTACTTACTATTGCCCCCCTCCCCCCGTTATAGCAGAAGAGATTGGCTTCATCTTCCACCAATTAGGGCATAAAGCCAGCGAGCCGAACTCCGAAGCTGGTTCAGGCTTGCTTTTATTTATTTATTTATTTTATTTATTTATTTGATTTGCCAATTGTTTACAAGATAATAAGTATAAATGTATACATAGTTGTGAATACATGAAATGGGTACATATAAGAAAAATAAAAGAAGAATAAGAGAAACAATAGGACAGGGACGGTAGGCACGTTGGTGTGCTTATGCACGCATATATAGTATATAGTACAGTATATAGTATATAGTACTAATATATAGTACAGTAGTTCTTTTTGTTCGCTTAAAGAAAAAGAATCTGTTGTTTATGTTATAAGATTTTAGACGAATCTTTCCATAATAGTTTCATGATTTTAAAAAAGGTATGATTTGCTTGGAATGTGGGGTATTTCGTAAATATTTATTCAGTTGAGCAGGTATGTTACCTTTGGCAATATTGTAAACTTTCTCTGATAACTTTTTTATTTTGTTATGTCCGCACATTTCCTTAATCTTTGCTCTCACCTCATCAGCCATCACCTCATCAGCTTAAGTCATTTCGCTGTTTCGGTTTTAAAATAGTGTTACCACCAACAGCAAATTGAAATAGTTTAATCTTGTGTGTATGCGTACTGAGCAGATCCACTTCCCTTCACAGGGCTGTATATATGGCTCACGCTGCAATGCATTCTATACTGTACCTGTCCACTCAGAAATGAACCTTATTCAGTTCAATGGAGTTTATTCACAATCCAGTGTTTACAGGGTTGCAGCCTTAAGTTTTACCTTCCAAAGGACAGCAGGCATATACTGTACTTTTACTAAAGACCAGTGTTTCTCAACCTTAGCAACTTTAAGATGAGGGGACTTAAACTCCCAGAATCCCCCAGCCTTCCATCTTAAATCAAGTATTATAAGGGAGGGGGGAGTCTCTTTTATTTAAAAAATTAAAACCTTTAACAATCAGAAACGGAGCATATGCAACAGCTCATTAAAAAATGGAAATTATTCAAGGAGGCAGGGATTTTCCCACACTTCATTCTTCCAAAACAACTTATATATCTTCTTGGGGGGGGGGGGGGGGGGGGGGGGGGGAGAGATTGGCCATTTTCATGTAGGATTGCTTTTAATTACAAATAGGGAAGATAATACTAGTAAAACAATACAAAATCAATCTTTCATCTAAGGTGTAGGTTCAGTGCGGTTGAATAATGGTTCTGGTTCTCCTATTTGAGTTGTTCTATATCCATCTTTATCAGTAGAAGTGTCATTCTGTCCTGTTTGGGAGTAAAATAGATTATGCAATTAAAGTTGGAGGCAACACAATTCATTTCATAATGGGTATTCTCTTTCCCTAGGAGAAATACACATAATTGGTGACAGAATCCTGCTTGTTTCACATCAAAGAAATGATGTGAACTTTTCTCTTGTAAGTAAATTTGGAGTATATCTTAACGCAAATACCTAGAATATATGGAGATCAATATTGTGTGTTTAAAATGCAATTACTGTATGTTGATTTTGTCTGATGGGAGTATAGGAAAAAGAAAAGATAGATGCTGATGATATTTGAGATCTTGCATTCCGACTCATTAAAAACTAAACAGACAATTGGGGGAGAAGTGAGCAGAAGAATTGTTGTGGCCCCTTGTTTTTTGGAATTCCCCCAAAATGGAATTTTGGAGTTCCCCTGAAAACTTGACTCTCTCACTTCTAAGTAGATCTTCCTTTTCTCCCAATTCTGTTGCAGGCTTTAATCTTTCATTGTATAATCCCTGAGAACAGATTAGTAAATAATATGAATAAATGCTAAAACATAGTCCCTTTGAAAGTGTAGAGGGAAGACGTCAGTGATACGTTATTAAATCCTTGGCAGGTCAATGGTGGGGAAGGTCCACTCCACAGACTTTTGTCATTGCCTTTATTACAGGTGTTCTTTGCGGGTTCTGGGGTGACCACAAGGAATAATGGTGTTCCCCCCTTCCCCACATGAACACTTTAGCAACCAGGGCTGGATAACTAATTGCTGAGTTCCTGGAAGCATGTCATCTTTTCACTTGGGTAGTCAGACCATCTGCAACTCCTGGCAACTAGCAGGGGAGCCCACAAAAGGCGTTGAATTAATAAGTGTTAGAAAGTGTCTTCTTCCTGTTCCTCAGATCAGACCTCTTCGATAGTGTCGTGTCCGTCGAGAAAGGAAGCTCGGAGTCAGTGACTTGGTTTCAGCTCTTTATTGGCTCCTGATACAGCTTAAGCTTGAAGGGGAAAACTGCGGCTTTTTATTCCCGCGCCGCGGCGGCCGCGGCCAATGACACCGCTTCGAATCTCCCGCGATTAGTTTCCACCAATCGCGGGGGATTCGCAACGGACCAATCAGTGCGGCTCGCTCGACCAATCCGGTCGCCGCGCGCCTTAACCAATCGCGACGCGGGGCTACGAGTATGTAAATTGACTTGTACAGAACACCCCTCCCCTCTTGGTTCGGTCCTACGTAACGTAGTCCCGTAGGTAGGCGGGGCTTCGTACTTGTCTACTTGACTTGCGCAGCTTAGTTGTTGTTTGGTTCCCGGCCGGTTCGGTCGGGACTTCTGTTTCTCTTGGCCCTGTCGATGGAACCCCCTGGAAGGTGTCGCTGGGCCTCTTGTTGCAGTTCCCTCCCGGTCTACCCGGGTTGGTCGAGCTGCGACTTTCGCCGCTCCTGCCTGGTCTTTCCGGGCTGGTTGAGCTGGCCTGGCTGTTCCTTCCTGGTGAGACTTCGGGCTGGCTGTTGACTGGTGAGTATTGCTGGTTATTTCCTATTTGATCCCCTGTATCTTCCCTCCCCTCTTGGTTTGTGTTATCGGGGTCGTCTGTGTTTGGTTGCGTGTCGGTTGTGTTTTTTGTTCTTGATCTTATTTGATCGATGTGGCGTTTCCATGTTTGTCCGTCGGTTGTCTGTAGCCGGTAGGAGTGGGGTCCTGTCAGTTGGGTTATAGTTGCCGGTACCCATAGTGGGTCTCCGGTAAGGTTTTTTGCATAGACTGCGTCGCCTGGTGCAAAAACCCGGTGCTTGCTAGATGAGTCCGGGGGTTTTTCCGGGTTGTATGTGGGGTGTAGTCTGTCGAGTGGTGACCTTAGTTTTCTCCCCATTAGTAATTCTGCCGGGCTTTTGTTAGTCGTTGTGTTAGGGGTGATATGTTGTATTAGGAGCATTTTATTTATTTTTTCTTGTATGTCCCCGTGTTCGATCTTTTGGAGGGTTCTTTTTGTAAATTGAACCATCCGTTCTGCCCTACCATTTGCCGCCGGATGCGCCGTCGCTGTCAGTGCGTGTCGTATGCCTCGTTCCGCTAGGAATCTTTCGAATTCCAGCGAGGTGAACTGGGGTCCGTTGTCTGACACGATGACATCCGGGAGACCGTGGGTTGCGAAGAGTTTGTTTAAGACCTTGGTTACCGCATCTGTTGTGGTGGTCTTCATGTTGCTTACCTCCAGCCAGTTGGAGTAAGCATCCACCGTGATGAGGAATGTGTTCCCTTTTGTGGGCCCGGCAAAGTCTATATGGAGTCTCGACCATGGTCCCCTGGGCGTTTCCCATTCTAAAATTGGTGCTGCGGGGGGATTTGGTCTGGTTTCTTGGCAGCGCGAGCACTTGGCTACCCAGGCCTCGATCTCCTTGTCCATACCTGGCCACCAAGCATAGCTTCTGGCTAAAGCTTTAGTCCTCACAATCCCCGGGTGCCCTTCGTGTAATAATTGTAATACCTTCCCTTGCAGTTTTTCCGGTATGACCACCCTGTCCCCCCATAACAAACAACCTTTCTGTAGTGACAGTTCTGTTTGCCGGTTTCGGAATGTCCTGAATGCATCATCGCTGTCTTTCTCTGGCCATCCCTTTGCTACCCAATGTAATACCCGCGCCAGACGCTTGTCTTTATTAGTCTCTCGGGCAATGTCTGACGCGGTTATGGGTAGGTCCGGCAATGTCTCTATGCTGAGGGTGGTCGTCGTGGGAGCTGGATCGTCGTCTAGGTCGGGAAGCGGCGAGCGGCTCAACGCGTCTGCATGGGAGATCGTCTTACCCGGTCTGTGTGTGAGCCGGTAGTCGTAGGCGGCGAGGAACTCAGACCACCTTGTCATCCTGGGGGATAGGATGTTCGGGGTGGCCTTGTTCCCCGCCAGGATGCCCAGCAGCGGCTTGTGGTCCGTGATGAGGGTGAATCGGCGGCCGTAGAGGTACTCGTGGAACTTCTTTACTGCTGCGACGATGGCCAGTGCCTCCTTATCTAATAGGCTGTAGTTTCTTTCGGGTTTGCTGAGTGTTCTTGAAAAGAAAGCGATGGGTGCTTCTTTTCCGTCTGGGAGTGTATGGCTGAGGACAGCGCCGACGCCAAATGGTGAGGCGTCGCATGTGACGGCGATGGGTAGGGTCTCATTATACTGAATGAGAACGGCATCCGAGGTGAGCAGGTCTTTGGTATTCTTGAATGCGGTGTCCTCCCGTTTCCCCCAGGTCCATTTGGCCGTCCTGTCCAGGAGCCTATGCAAAGGCTCCGCCGCGGTCGCCTTTTGGGGCAAAAACACATTGTAAAAATTTA